CTGGGTCTTCTCATTTCTGTTCCTTCAATCCATTTTCCTTGCAAATAACCGTATGTGAACAACTTAAACTGAATTAAGTATGGCTTCCACAGTATTGCTTATTTGCAGTAAGTGGTAAGAGCCATAAATTAAAATCATTTGCTATAATTCACATGAGAACCAGTGTAGCTATGTATTTTTTGCCTAAATCTATGTTCCAGGACTAAGGTGGCAGTTCTTCATGCTTTTCTTCATGCATTTTCTCAGCTACCTGTCAAACCTCTTCTCTCTTTTCTACTGATAAATGGTGAGGAGGCTATTTAGTAATCTGGTTTCCTGCAATATCAATGGTACACTTCACCAGGGCAGTGTGACCTGTTCTCTAAAGGAGAGCAGATTCCTAGCCAGACCACTCTGCTTCCTTACATTGCAGCAATTTGAGTTTTCAGTTCCGTGTTGCAACAAACCCAGAAGGCACTCTGGAAGCACACGTTCATCCATTTTTCCCTTAAACTTACTTTATTTGTCAAGTTTTCACAAGGCCCTCCAGTTCACGTTTTGCAACTATGCCTTTTTACTGGTTGCATCTTATCCGAAAAAGCCAAGCAAAGAGAACAGGTCTCCGTCATCATTGCTTTAGATACAGAAAAGATTTGCCTGAGACTCCAAGTTATATACAAGCTATCCCTCTATATCTTTTGCTGGAACACTGTTCTTGGCTACCACAGTGGCAATAGTCCCAAAAGTCTGTCCCCAGATGCAGGACTATTCATCACTGAAAACAGTCTGTCAACTTCTTGTTTCACCTGATGCACATCTTTAAAAGGATTTTCCTCGGAAAGCGTTTATAAGATACTGACTGGGCCTTTATATGTTTGTTATCATAAGGAAATCCAAGCAAGTATTCTTAGCGGTTCTCTCTTTGGCTGTCAGTAATTCCCTCTCAAGTTTTAGCAGCACACATTTCAAACCTATTTCTGAGTAAGTGCCTATTTCATATATATTATCTCTTCCTGCAACTAACTGCCTGGCTCAACTTGGTAACTACTTCGTCCCCAACACACTTGTTTTTTCTCAAGCTTTCTTAACCAGCTCTGTGATTTCCGCTCACCTAGCAAATCTGTTACACGTAATAGCTAGCCACACAGCTAAACTTGCTGTGATTTACCAAGAATGTAAACAAACCAATCAGATTTACATCTTTTTCTTTGATATCCTTCTAAATTGGGTATTCCCTTAGGAAATGTTGACATATCTATCAGCAAGCCTTATGTTTGTAAATGTCCTTCTGGGTTTTGAGCAATATTTTTTTTTTTTCCTGAATAGTAGCAAATAATGGAACTGTTTTCCTTACCTTTTGCATGACTGCTGATTTCCGGTTTTACAAACTGAATGATCGTTGTTGCAAATACCTGTGGCAAATGTCATGATCTATTTTAGAATTCCCCTGTTCAATCACACATATTAGAAACAGAACTATACTCATAGGCCCTAGGGCAGTCAATTTTTCCTTTTCCTGGTAATGGCAGCTTTTTTCCTCATGAGCTGCTATGAAAATTGCTAAAACTCTATGGCAAATTCCACAGTTTCTCAGTATGTCTTTGTCTTTCTTTTGCTGATCTTCACTTGCAAAGCCAAGTCTACCCAAGTATTAATAAATCAATTTATTGCCAATTTATTTTAGGAGTCCTCATTTGTATCAAACATACCAAAAGCTCAACTCTGTTTACATATTCTGCTAATTTCCTTTCTATCCACCTCTCCACTATTTCCTGGCAAGGTTAAGCTGGTGGCTGACTTGAAACAGCATGTCAAGGGCTGTACAGTCTCTTTTTTTCTGGATGTAGGTTTTGAGTATCATCAAAATTATATGAGTCAAATTTGATGCCACAGAATCCCATTTCTGTCCATCTCCTTAGCCAATGATTGTGATGCTAAACTGACCATCCAAATAGTTTTGCAACATTTTACATTGATTCGTATGAGCAAAAATAATCCAGAATACTTCCAAAGTAGGCAACTGTTGGAAATTACCTGTAGTTTCTTGCTGTTCTGGTTCCAGTTCTGACTGACTTCTACTGATCTGTGAATTTTTAATCTTTTTCTCAGTGTTTTTTCTTAGCTCCTTAAGTTGTTGTTTTAACTAAGTCCAGTACTCTGTTTTCTGATGAAAAATCAAGTTGATTATCCAAGATCACAAATCTGCAGGAGAGAAAAGAACTGAATCAGGTCTCTACATCCAGGCTTACTAACGTAAAAATATTTCACAGAAACATTAATGTAACCGTAATTGTGAAGGAAAAGTTATCAAAACATTTGTTTCTTCAAGTTCAAAATTACTTGTAAAACAGATAAAATTCTGAAAGCAAAACAGTAAAATTAAGAGTACTTGGCTCTTTTAAGCCAAATATTTCCATACAGCATTTCAAAATAAGGGAAAATCTCAGCAGGTATTTTGTCACTTTTATTCTATTGTTACTGTAATCTGAATAATCACTTCTATCCCAAGCCTTCTGTGTTGCACAACTTAGCCCTGTATATGCACTAACTTCAGCTTCCACCTCAAGTTTTCTTTAGATGCCTCACAAATCCACTTCTATGCTTACGTTGTGCCTTAGGTGGCTATAATCAAGGAAGGCAATATAGTATAATATCATAATTTTTATTTTAGAGTCTTGCTGATAACTCAGGGCAGTTGCAATCCTTATTATTATGGCAGACTCACTCTACCTCTTTTACTGCTCATAACTGATTAACTCTGATATGGGGCTGTATTCATTTTCCCCACCCTTGAAAAGGAGGCTGACTGGCTCACAGACAGCAAGAAATCTTTGGAAAGGAAAACTTCTAGCTGTGTACATGACTCCAATAAATTTCTTGCAAACTGTATGCAAACTCTTTTCTGTGCATCTGTTTCAGTAGTAAAGTGAATGGTATGAGGCATAATTCATTACAGATCATGTCGCCTTTGAAATACTTCTCAACTCATGTCTGAATATTTAATCAGTGTATACATCCACATGTTTATGGCACCACAAGGCATAAACCAGTGAAGAATCAGATATGCTGCCCAGGCCTAACTGAATGATAGCTCAAAACTCAGGATTGCCTTATTGATACCTTCTTGGTACAACAAGAGAACAGATCTTTTTCAACTGACGATTAAATTTTGCCTTTCTTCCGCAAACACTTATTTTGCTTCCCAGCAAAAGCATAGTATCTTATTGCTAATACTGCTAAACACATCCATGTTTTCCTCTTGGACGTTGCATGCATTTCACAGTAATAATGAAGTCACTCACCACAATACCCACCTTTTGGTTCTCAGTACAGACATTTGATAAAAATAGTAGGAGCCTGAGATAATGAAGAGCAAGAAGATAAAAGTTTACCCGAAAACTATGAAATACTTTCAGAGAACGTCCTTCTACCATGGAAGGAAAACATTCCCATGTTTGGGAAACATACAGAAGCATGTGCCTTTCAGTGTGTCCCAAAGATGGAGGGAAGGAGGAAAAGGAAGGATGGAAGGGAAGAAGGAAGGGAGGCAGGGAGGAAGAAGGGAATTGAAGGAAGCGTGGAAGGAAAGAGGACAGAAAGAACGAAGAAAGGAAGGAAGGAGGAAAGGAAAGGGAGGGCAGAGAAAGCAAAGGAAGGAAGAAATGAAGGAAAGAAGAAAGGAAGGAAGAAGTGAAAGAAAGAGGGAAGGAACGGAGAGGATGGAAGAAAGGAAGGAGCAAATTGGGGTGTAGCTGCTTGTGCTGTTCCTGCATGTCTGAGAATCTTGAGACCTGTGATTAACTGAATACTAATTTTATTCTTTCATAAATAAATTAAAAAAGATCCTTTCTTTCCTCAGAAAATATAGACTATACAAGTTTTCACAGATCCCTTTAGTTCACCAGTGAAAACAGTAGGCATGTATTTGGTATTAAAAGGTATCAGAAAGGAAATAATTTTTTAAAGACATAAAAGCCCTTTCTAAGGTGACAGACTGTAAGGAGGAGGAAGAGGTTTTAGAGGAGAGGTTTCTAATACTCGCTTTCATTGGAGCTAAAAGCATTTCGTAGGATTTGCCTTTTTTCCCCCCATTATCTGTACAGTCAGAATTTCATTTAATTTAAATGGCCTTTCACAGAATGTAAAAAGCTTCCACCTAATCTTTGTCTTTCCCTTGGCCTCTGAAGAAACCAGCCTCACAAGCACAAAGGTAGCTGCTGCTGCTGCAGCCTTGGAGCCAGCAGGCGGTTTGGGTTTCTAAGAAGGTCTCAGAGCTGTATCCCACTGAAGAGCCTGCCTTTGCTCAAGAGGCGAGGTGGAGAGCAATGGACCTTGGAAGATGGAAAAACCTTGGGATACCGGTGCCTGCACCAAATCAGATCTGAAAATAGAATGTCCTCCCCAGTACACACCTAACACAGCTGCCATGAAAACAGTATTTGAAGATAAATTGGAGCATACAACTCCCTTCTGCCAGTCCAGAGGCACACAGTCCTTCACCAGTCCTTTGTGCAAGGTGTGTGGCTACAGGTATGCTTTAGCAATACTGGGGAACTTTCCTGGTGCTTGGAAGCATTGGGATTTATCTAGTTTGGGGGCTGAGCAGAAAAATTAGCATTTACAGCTATATAAACTGCATGGAAATATCCAATGAATCCTGTTTCCTCCTTATATCTTTGTTTAATACATATAATTGCTAACTAAGTGGAACAGAGTTATGCCATCTAGTTGAGCAATTGCACAGACCTGTAAAGAAATGCTGGCATCAGATTACCCGGGCACTCCTTGTAACTACACCCTTACAAACAATGTATGTACGTCTTTAGCATTGGCGCAGACATGCAGAGAATTGGTGTTTGCAATTTTCCCCTAGAGTCTCCACTTCGCTCGCATCATGGCTGGCGCTCCCCCGGAGTCTCCGCTTTGCTCGTGTCATGGCTGGCTCAGATAGGGATCCCTGTCTAGGAAGGGAAATTTCTGAGCTGCGCAACATGGTATGAACGTGGGAAAAGGCGACAAGCATGAGCAAAATGTCACTAAAGCTCATCTGCTGTTTCTTCTGCGCTCTGATTGCACCAAATCTCACAGGTAAATGGCTAAAGTATCTTCAGTTGCCTTAAGTCAGAAGATGAAGGGGTTGTGAGAAACAAAAAGTCTTTTGTCCTTTTGTTAAACATGCCTCTACAAAACCTAAGCCAAATAGTTTGAGGTCAGGTGATTTTGAATTTTAATTCTTTGTCTAAAATTAATACTAGAATAAGCAAATGAAAAAGACAATCCATAAATTCTATGTTCTGCAAGTCAATTCTGAAATCTAAAGGGGAATGTCAGTTTGAAGGACATTAACTTACTAATCCTGTATTTGTCTCCGCTCTTCTGCTGTTCTGTGAAAAGCTGAACTTTCAAGTCCTCTTTTAATGCTGATCTCTTTGAGCACAGGGGATGCCCTGCCTGGGAGTGGATGCAGGGTCAGAGAGGAAGGGTATAAAGTGTTAATAGCTCAAAAATGTTCACTGAGGGTCTCCTTTACCGTGGGAGGAGGTTGTGCAATTTGTAATCTGCTTCTCCAAGTAAATGCTAGGCTCCAAACACATCTCCCAGAAGGAGTTTGGCCTCTGATCTCCTGACTACACTTCAGTGTTTTTGTGATGGTCAGTCCTCTAGAAAGCAAACACGGCTTGCCAGTGTGCTCGGATTTTGCTCAGTTCTGTCTTTCTAAATGTGCCATCTTAGCTCCTGAATTCAGGTTGTGTCTTGCTCCGTTTTGTTCTCTGCCTCAGAAAAAATAATTCTATAGCTTCCTTGGCCAGCAAAACACTTTGGAACATTATTTATAGTTTTTAGTTGCTAGGTATGGAAACCACTGACTCAGTGTCAAGTTGCATATGCTCTGAAAGTTTATTCTGTGGAATAGGGAAGATTATGACAAATGTTTTTTAAAAGATGGCAAAGCTGGGCAACTATTCTTTAAAGAAATTTGATTTTATTTTTACTGTATTTTTGTTTAAGGCCTGGCTAGTTGTATGATGTTTCCACAGAGGAGCCATGTTGCCTGTGTGTGAAGTGACTGCCAGTCTTGCTCAGCCGCCTACTCATCCAATTTTTTCTTCTACACTGTGACAGACAGTAGTCGAAAAAGGTTGGATAACTTACACTGTGTCCTCCTTCTCTTGGCCTTGACCTGAAATATGAAAATTTGTGTCCTAGTCTCCTTTTTGAGCAAAGAACATTTTTTTATTGAATGTTTATGTCTAAATCTGCCCCTGTGGTTGCGTAGAGCAGACACCAGGTTAGAAGACAGTGTGGTTCCCATCTAGGCCGGGAGTCCAGGCTTTGTATCCCGGGTGCTGGGGAGAAAACCAGGCAAGGGGGTATGTAATAGGGTCTTGCCTTTTGCAGTCAGTTTGTGCAATCAGCAAATGAGGGAGGGGATGTTACCGGAACCTTCAGGTTAGAGTTATAGACAAAGAGATTGTTTAGCATAACTTATTATTGTTGCCTAAAATGCTGTGTTTCTAAGAGTTAAAGATGTATGGCTTTCATTTTCACCATTTAGCTTACAATGAAATTCCTTTAGCTTTTTGGGGTGTTATAGACATTACTCTATTTTCTTGTCACCTATATTTAGAGTTCAGAATTCCCTTGTCAGATTCCCCTTCACTGAAATTTCCTCAAATGCAGAGGCAGACCATGCTCGAACATACAAAAAGCTGGTGACATTGTTGTCCTCCAGATTAGAAAAAGGAGATTAAATGGTACAATGCTTGGAAGGTAAGAGACAATGCTTATTAGCACAGCAGTAAGGAAGGATTTCTCAGGCCTGTATATAAAATTTTAAGGGGCATGCCAGAAAAAGCACAGATAAAGGAAAGCACTTCTGAACACTATGCAACACTGATTCTGGAGTTACTGTTTCTTCTTGTGTTTGTTGAGCCCCTGAAAGGAGAGGCTATTATGAATAAAGAGATAGTTTTATTAATATTTTTGCAGTGTTCACCTACATTTAACAGTAAGTGGTGGTGATAGTAGTGATGAAGTAACAGCAAGTAATGATGAAGTAGTAGTGATGAAATATTATTGTGTTCTATATTCACAGAGAAAGAAGGGTATCAAAATCTATCCCAGAGCAATGGAATTTTATCAGGGTTTATTTAAGGCATTTTAAACTGAAAAGTAAGACAGACAAATGTACTGGACTTGATCATGAAATTTTTTTTTTGAATTGTAGATTCTTTAACACAAAGAGGAGAAAAATGTTAAACAAGAGAAGTCATCGCCATTCTAAATGGAAATCCATTCTTTGCGTAACAAATGAAATGGAATAGACTTCTGATAGGGTAGGAGGCGAAAATGGTGTTTACAGAGAAAATCTGGACATGTCTTTTCTTTGGCATGGCTGGAGATGTTAGGGTAAGAGTCAGTACCCTGGCTTGAAAGACTGCAGTTTGGCTTTTCCTATGAGGCTGTTTACATATTGCTTGTGAATCCAAAATCAAATGGAAGTGCTACGCAGCCCTGGACTAACAGCCTTCTGGGTCCTGCCTGCTCTCTCTGTCCAGTTGTCTCCTGCACTTTGTATGATTGTTGTTTCTTTTCCCTTCAAAATGCATAGACCAGAGTTAATGGAGTATTTTAGTGCTGAAACAACGTACTTCACTGTTTATACTCGGTGCTTCCCCTTTTATATAACCTAGAATTGTCTCTTCTCCCAGTGCTAAACATGTGTTTGCTTACAATTATTTTGTGGGCTGTTGCAACAGATGGATTGGAGAAATCATGAATATAATTTGTTTGGATATGACACAGGATATGTTATGTCTAGATCATCAGTATTTTGGAAGAGCATGAACCTCTCTTCCAAACTACAGCTTTCAGCATGGCTCTGGGTCCCAGGCAGAAAGCAGGGAAGTGCATCAGTGCTTTTATTGCTCAGGGACCCCATTTAATTTGTGTACTGGATGAAAAGATCTCAAGTTTTGGCTTTACACCTTTTTGATTCAGTCCTGAGGGCTGTCTGCTGTGTTTGCAGTAGGGCATGGTTATGCAGTTACAAACATCTCTATACATACAATCAAGTGGGACATACTAAGGCTGAATCATAAGTTTCACTTTAGTGTATTTGTTATTTAATTATTTAACCTTACAAGCACAAAATCTTATAATTTTTACATGTAACAGCTACACACACACATATATACATATACTTATGCCCACACAGATATCTGTTTCTGTATTCTTTGATTATGAAAGGTAAAGAATATCTTTCTTTAGGGTTGCAGTTTCCTTCATCTGAAGGCAGATGTCCGAACTAGTGTGCCATTCATGTGAACTATATGTCCATAACACTATACCCCACCACCACCATCTTAGCTGCAGTGCTGGCGATCTCGTTTTGTGACACGAAGTGCAAACACCCCATGGCACTGAATAGCTGCTATGTGCTATCGCTTTGCTACAGAAGGTATGTGGCCCTGTAAAAATCAGCAAATATGCCCTGTAGATAACACAAATGAGTATTAGGTTTTTATATATCTTATTTTTCTTGGAGAAGAGTTACAAGTAGCAGAATTTGTGCCCATCCTGAATCTATTAATACCAAAAAGAAACTTAAATCAGTGAACTCCTTTTTTTATAGAGACACATACACTGTCATTAGGCCCAGAGTTTTTCCTAATGAAAGGAAGAAAGAAACCTTAGTGTCTGTATACGAACTTTTGTGGTTCAGCTGAAGTGAGGTGACAGGTCTCACTGTACCAATGGAGGAGTAACTGGTTTTGCTAGCAAACCAGGAAAACAGTGTACTAAGCTCAGCATAGCCAGGAAATTAAGGTTGGTCTCAACCAGATACAAAATAATCTTTGGGCCATTAAAAGGTAGATAGTCCAATTCAGAACTATCTTCTTCTTTTAAAATTGGTTTCTAGACTGTTTAATAAGATAGGGTTCAGTACTGTTGAATAAAAAAAATATATATCCAAAAAGTCCTAAAGTCAAGGGCTTAAAAAATTAGGAAACACTCCAGTGCAGTTCACCCCTGTTCAGAGCTGGAACATCATTGTGTGCATGAGTCATGTGGAGAACTAGTGTCTGATCATGTAACTTGGAGTCTGTTACGTAATTCACACACTTAGGTATGCCGACTCCCAAAATTAACACGGGAACCAAGAGTACAAGGAAAAGTAGTAGCAAACAATTTAAATATTGAGAAGCTTGGAGAATACAAGAGACCAAACTGGTGGTCGAGCTACAGAGTGAAGGTCAATAAAGACTTTTTTTTTTAAAAGACAAAAAGTGCCTTGACAGTAGTATGGACCCCCAATCGGACAGAAGCGATAGAACTGTTGATATGGCAGACAGTGACTCTTCCGCTATCTAAATGGCAAGGAAGAAAGCTTCTTATCCCATAGATATCTGACTTTTAGTTTAAAGAATGGCCGAGCATTGTGTCAACAGATCCATATAACTTATGCCAAAGAATCATAAAAGAGTTGGCATCAAGGCTCTCCACATCATTAGTGATTTTATAAAGATATGAATACAGGGAATATTCTAAGGGCAGAAAGAAGACCCATGTTGTTCCAATGCATTAAAAGAATAATCATAATGAAAACATCGCTCATGGACTTGTCAACCTGGTTTTAATACTGGGCAGAACAACTGACATTAACTCTGGTTAACTTTGTAAACACAGCTTAAAAGAAGACACCCTTTTTTAATGACAGTTAAAGACTAATGGAACATAGACCTTGTTAAGTGAAATAGATGTAATTAAAAAAAATAATTAGGAAATAATCTTTAGGTAACATAGATATATTGTGATAGAACAGTTATCTTGTTTCTGGGAGAGTGTTGAAATGACCACTGCTACACTGGGTTGGTTGAAACCGCTCCATCCATTCCTCCCTTCCTATGGTTCCTTGGGAACCATTCCCTGTTGGGCAGAGAGAACGTAATTTTCTTGGGACTGGAGGGTAGCAGAACAGAGGTAAGTCTGTTCCCATAGTGTAGTGCAGGATGTGCCCGTGGGGAATCCTGCCTTCAGTGCTCTGGTCCAAACACTGCGAAGTATTTTACAGTAAGATGCCATAGGATAAAATTAACTACACTGTAGGTACCATCCCATACTTATGCTTTGATGATCTCAGAGTAATGTAATACTTTCATTTATAGTCCATTGAATAAGTTTATTCTATTAAGAGGTACGTTGATTACAGCCTATACGCACTTACATTATTAGAATCCTGCAACATGAAAAAAGCTGTACCAAAGCTAGGATCTTCTACAGCGTCCAGTCAAGCCAGGAAAGAAATAGCACATTTCTAACCATGACATCCATTGGAACAGTCTATAGAGTGCAATAGGGTGTCTGTTACTTGACTTCATTAACTCGAATTCGATGGCTTTATAAAAGCTTGACCTTTTCTCGCTGTTTTACTGATACAATGAAAAACTCTGAAATAATGAAAAGGCATGCTTTGCCTTTCTGTAAGCAGTGCCAGCCTAGCTGCTCTGTCATTTGCTCTTTGGTTGTCATTTCTTCTTCTCTGTAAAATACTTTCAAACACTGAAATGACAGTAGTGAAATGAAGAGTGCATTTTTCTGATGCAAAACACAGTTTTACACTATTCTTCTAAGCTTTTTTCCTAGTATATTCATATATCTTTTTTCTTTCTTTCTTTTTTCTTTTGCTGGGAATTTTAGGTGAAGATGCTTTGTTGCCAGCACCTCAGAATATCTCTATTCTTTCTACCAACATGAAACACTTCTTAACTTGGAGTCCTGTGATCATCCAGGGAGAAACTGTGAGATACTCTGTTGAGTTTCAGGGGTAACTTCTGTTTTTTTTCTTCTTTGCTCTTTGAACACTGTTTACTTAGACTTAAAATCCTGCACTATTTGGGTGTCTTGAGCACAATTCAGTTCCCAGGCGTAAGAGAAGTTTGGTACTCCAGCACTGTTGATCACAAGTGGGGGAAACAAAAATCCTTTTGCTCCAGTTCTGAGGCTGTTTACAGGTTAATAGATACCTGAGTAATCCAAGGTGTGCATTAATCCCACATATGAAAACTACCTCAGTCTAAAGAATTCAAAAGTTAGGGAGATTAGCAACAGTTTATTTAGAAGAGGAAAGAGAAAACATTTGAGATTTATTCAGTGTTAATCTTTTAAACATTTAACACACATTACAGGAGGTTTCTGCTACATCTTGAGCTATGACTTGTGTCACAGTATGACTTTGGAATTCTGGTTTACCGGGGATGATCAAGTCAAGTGAGTGGGCAGGATTTGATGCATCAACACTGTGTTGGCTACCCCTACCTCCTACAATATCATGCTGCATTTGGCTCATGAACAAGCTGGCTCTGGGAGATTTTCTCTAGATAAGATCTAAAACACACCCATACTGGTTTCATACACTCCTGGTATTCCAGCCCCAGCGTGTCCCAGTACTAGTTTTACCTGGAAAGAACCAGCAAGCAGCCTTAGCCCACGTCATGGATATATCACCTATCAGACTGTTGCCTGTCTGCTTTCTTTTCCTTTCCTCAGCGAGTATGAACGAGAGTATGCCAATGAGAGCTGGATTCCCATCTGTGAATGTTCACTCATCACAGCCACAGTGTGTAACATCACAGATGACATCTCAGCCACTGTGGCCTATAACCTGCGTGTAAGGGCAGACATTGGTGTTGGAAGATCAGAGTGGGGCACCCTGGAAGGTTTCTTCAATCGCATCACAAGTGAGTCCTGCTATTTGGCTTAAGCTACATCAGTCGTGTTAATTTCTCAGAGTTCGGTGTTGAGGGATAGCTCAGGTGCATGTTTGTGTACTATGCATGTCACACAAAGCCCATAAATGCACAGAGTACATCCTGCTTCTCATCTCCTCTCATGCTGGGTTGGGATGTTTCACTCTTAAGACAGCCATGCTGTGTTCTTGGGCATGAGTTCCTCCTGAGGCAGGGCTGAATTTGCCAGGGCTTGAATTTCAAGGGTTTCAAAGATAGGTAAGAAGACTCCAGGCATTTCTTTCGGCAAGTTGGCCACTCTTGCCCCTGATTTTGAAGAGTTCTCATCAATCAGGGTTGCTGTCAATGCTCCATCTAATCCGTGTCATCTAGTCACTTCTGAGCGTCCAGAACCTGATCCTGTGGAAGCACTTACTCTAGAAAACAGCCATGTTACCCTCTATCTGCCTCATGCTGTCCTGGAAATCCCGCTCCCTTCCAGACATGATTCCCTCCTCCCATGTTGTCAGATATATGAGGTAACCTCAGAAGAGGAAAGAAAAAAGGAAACCGTAGCATTGCTGCAGTCCTAGCAATGAAGGGTATTTTCTCCATATCCTTCCTACTCCTGCAAAGCTTGAGGCCCAGCTCAACCCAAGAGTCATGTTGCAGCTTAAAATTAGTGTACTATTTCCAGTTTTCCTCTGGAATAATTACGTCTGTTCTCTACCATGTAGCCAACTGCTTTCAGCAACAAAAACTGTGGTGGAAAACCTCTGATGAGGTCACTAGCAGAATGCAACTCTGGGATGGGCAGCAGTCATCAGTTTTAGCCAGGGAAGAAATTGCCTGTCTGAGGACAGAGTTGACCCTACCTTAAACCTTCATCAGTCATTGGAAGTTATCTACTACTTCATGAGTGAGCAGTCCTCACTCATACAGAGCACTTAGTCAAAGCAACACCATCAGAAGTGCCACCTAAGTACGTGAGTGTGTCTCTTGGTGTGGAAGTGTTTTCTAGACAGTGCTTTAGATGAAAAATCCTTCCCTTTTCCAGCAGCTATGGTGGCACAGAGTTGAGCTACAGACCACACTGTCGGGCAGAGATAGGGGAAGGATATTCCTTAGCTTGACCCTCTTCATGAAGAAAAGCTGCAACTTTCTCATGGTACAGTGAAGTATTTGACAGCTTGGTCCTGTGTCTTAGAGACCTCAATACAATCCTCTGGCTAAGCTGTGAAAATTCAGAGGATACAGCTTGCAATGGGCTGCAGTGTGAATATGCATATATGGACAAATGTTTAAAGGAGGAAGAAAAGTCACTGTAAGTTCTTGTACTTATGCATTTTTACTGCTCACTTTCCTTGTCTCTGCTTTCGCATCTCTTGGGAAACCTGGCATTGAGTCTGAGGGGAACTAAGGAATTCAAAGCACAGCCCACAGGTTCCGTATGTGGTTCGTAGACAGGGCATCAGTGTAGCCCACAGTACTTCCAGACTAAAAAAGCTCCAGTGTCAAAGCCTTAGGTGTAGATATACATGAAGTACGATAACACATGGAAAACACTTTTAAAAGATCTTCCTAAAACTAACAATTTAGTCAGTCTTCATTTATTAAAATTGAGATAGTTGGTATCCAGTGTGCTAGCACAGAGATAAATCTAAATGATCCTGTTTGGTTAGTAGTTGCATCTTGCAATGTCCATTTGTTAATACTTTAGCCCAATATTTGTTTTTAACCTCCAAATGACGTTATAACTCTTTTTATTTTGAGACATCATGTTAAGCAGATTCTCAGCTTTTAATTTAAAAGTATAAAGTAGTTTTCCAGGCCTCCCATTTGTGGCACACTCATGAACATACTTGGATTTTATGTTTTCATATTGCTCAGTATTCATGGCAATTCACTGGATGTAAGAGCAAATTCTATTAAGAACATCTCTTCTGTATGTTCCTATACATTGCTCTCCTTCCTTTCTTGAAAGCAAGGAGGTTGAAACCAGTTTCAGCTACAACAGAGTGGTAAAGAATGGCGTAGATAAGGAGTGCAAGGTACAGTGTGTAGTTTCATTCATGCTTGATTGATTCTGATTGTTTCACTAATATTCCTCAGACCAAACCAAGCTTTGAATATCGAAGTAGACATGAAGCAAATCACCTACAAGTTTACTTGCATACACTTACAAAAACTTAAGTCACAGCAGGTCATCAGCCAAAGTCTGTCTAAAACCATGTAGATACTAAAAGAAAATGAGGATTCATGTGAACTGCCAGAGTTACCCTGAGGCTCGTATTGCTTTTTCCTTCACCTTTGAATAACTGCCAAAATTCCCATGAAGAAGCAGTGGTTTCACAGCTCCTGTTCTGTATGTTAGTGCTAAGCTAATGCCCAGGAGCAGAAGAACTGGCCTGATCTGGTGTCTCAACTTCTGGTCACCCAGCTGGTTCTGTTGCTGTTGATCACACGGGACCCTTAGGCCAGACACTTCCTCTGCTGGAGAGAATTCAAAACCTTTCAAGTTCTGTGCAACTCCGCTATTGCCAAACTCCTGGTTGCAATGCCAATAATCATGGTCCTCCTCCTGCTCAAAGTCTGCTACAGTATCTAGACGTACTGGGAGGTAGGGCAGAGAGAAGTTTCTGCCCCACTGAATCAACCAGCTATTATTCCAGATTAATGTTACTGTGCTCATGATGGCAGCTTCTCCTCCTCTCCTAGCTGGGAAAGGGAAGACAGTTTTTAAGGGTTGCCTCTGATGTGATAATGGTGCTCTCTCTGTGTTGGCAGCTTCCCTGACCCCACCTCTGATGAAGGTCATAGCAGATGGGTATCATTTACTAGTGGAGCTGGAAGACATGGGGCCTGCCTTTCAGTTCTGTGTTCTCTATTGGAAGAAGGGCCAGGAGAGTAGGGTGAGTTTTACCCTCGGGTTTTGGGCAATAACAGAGAGCCCACATGCTTAGAGTGAAAGCATACAGGCATTGCCCAGGGCCTGTTTGCCAGTCCAAGCTCCTGCTGTGAGGCTGGAGGACCTGCCTGGAGTCAATGTGCCATATTCCTCTGCACATACCAGTGGGTTGCTCTTACGCCCATGGAGAAGCTTGTCTGTTCTTTCCACATTTCCTTCTCTGGGAAGAGGAATCCCCTCAGGGACCTCAACTATTGAAAGAAACCAGAAGTCAGGAACTGAAGGTGTTTATGCTGGCCACCTTCTCTGAATATAATTTGGTTTACTCAGACAAAGATTAAGGTGTCACACTGAGGTGATCTCAGGAGTTTTTTGTGAAACAGCTTGCCTGTGACAGTGAGCTGTAACTTGCTTAGCTGAGGACATTGCTTACACCTGGGTAATACTGAAGCAGTGACAATTTGTGTTCTATTCAGGTCATTCTGTTTCTATTAGACACCAATTTTATTTTTTTTCTCCTGGGAACTTGGTGCTTCCGTAGCACCTAAGAACATAAAAGCGTGAAAGTAGCCATATAAAGGTAGACCATGGGACCATCAAACCCAGTATCTTCTCTCTGCCAGTGGGCAACGGAGATAACCGAGGAAGATAATAAGGAGAAGGCCTGTGTATAATTACACTTAGATTATTTTCTGAGATCTCAGAGACACGGCTGCAGGAAATTCCTGAGGCAGAACTGGTATCGTTAATAGCCCTTGATGAATTTTTGTTCAAGCCATGTAAATTTTAGCATGTACAACTTCCTATAGCCAGGAGTTCTGCAGCTTAACTGTTGTGCAGTCTAAATCTTGATTTAGGGGAGAGAGAACAATTATTCCCTATTCACTTTCCCCACCACTCTAGAATTTTATATTGTGTGTCTCTTTCCAGGCCAAGGACTCCCAGCCTACTTAGTTGTTCCCTATGGAAGCCCTTCCAGCTCTTTTTGTCTTTACCAAAGTGGGCAGGGAGTAAACCTTCACAGTTCAAGGTGCAGGAGCACCATAGAACAAAACACATCTTCACACTCTTCTCTTTTCCCAGCAACTGTTAACATGTGTGACTACCACAGAGCAGAGTATTCCATGAAACCTGAACCCCAAGTTCCTGTTTCTGACGGGGGATGCTCAACTTAAGGTTGAGTCACTGACTGTGTAAAAATGAAGGGGAAAAATTCTCATGAGCATCATTTCACATTTATCTGTGTTGAATTTAATTTGTCATTTTATTGCAAGGTCCTCCTGCAGTTCTTCACAGTTGGCTGTCATCTTTACTATTCTGAAGTGGCTTTTTAGTATTATTAGCATGTATCAGTTTTTATTTTTCTTCCAGATCATCTGTAGTAATACAGTGGTGAGCACAGATCTGCATGGGTCTCCACCATGACCTCCTTCCACTCTGAGAAAGGATTAGCAATTTAACCATACAAAAGTCTTTCTTCTATCAGGAAGCAGCAGGAGCAGGGCTGCTCACTATGAGCAGGCAAGCCAGGAGCCAAGGATGATCCCAGTGCAAGCAGTGCCCTCCCCAATCAGGCATAGACCGATAGGGTCTGATTACAGTGGGCAGAAACTGGTAACAGGGTCCATCAGCAGCCCCAGACAAGGCAGGCGATGAACCAGGCCCAGGGTCTGTACAGGGACCCCAGCCAGGAGCAAAAAGGAGATAGGACCAGAGACAGGGCTGGAGGACAAGGCTGCAAGGTACTTAACAAGGGTCCATCCAGGAGACAAGCTATGTACAATGTAGGTCCAAGGTCCATTCTGGAGACAGGCACACCTCCAGCATAGCTCAAACAGGAACTGAAGGTCCTAGGTTGAGTTTAAATGGGGTTCCTGGGCCATGGACAGGAGGGGGAGGATGGGGGTGTGGGGCAGGCAGGGCTGGTCAGGGCCGTTGCAGCCTGGTTAGTGCACTTAGAGCTCCGATGCCTTTTTATCCCATGGCTGTTAGCTTAATAGGCTTTTGAAATAGATCTTCTTGACTATCTTTTGGAAATCCAAGTAAACGAGATCAACCTTGTCCATGAGCTTTCTGACACCTTAGAAAGAATAATATAGGTTCGTGTCTGATTTCCTTTTACGAATGAAATCTTGTCTTCTTCAGTATATGGTATTAATCACCTAAACGTTAATTCCAAACTTCAGAATAGTTTCTACCAACTGCACTGTCACAAGCATCAGATTTGCTGGTCAGGACATGTCTGGTTCTCTGCTGGGACTCTTTTAATTTTTTTTTTATAATTGTCACATTTGACATGTCTGATTTGAAGTTTTTGCAAGAGGTTACACACCCCAGGTAATCATTGACCTGATTTTTTGCCTTGAAATCTTTTCAAACTAATGGCCCTCAATATCATGTTTCTGTGGAGAAGGATATTTTGATGGAGAGAAGGACTTGCCCTGCCAGGAGAGCCCTACTGGCTTGTTGGAGGTGTCCGTATGTGTATGATGCTGGAGGCTGATCAGGCCTGCTGTGAGCACAGGCTTTGCATCTGCAACACAGCAAGAATTAGGAGCAACTAGCTAATTGTTACCTGTCCTCTCATGACTGGGGACACTGGGAATAGCAACTCCATTTTGCTAGCAGTTAATGGAGTCCTATTTATTGCAAGAAAATAATGTACTGCTGTTCATATGCTGTTTAAGGGTTGATGAAGTGTTACAGTTGCACACACCAAATTCACTTGCTCCGCACTAGCCCAATTCATCCCCTCTCTGTGCTCCAGAGACATGGCCCAGCTCTCACACCCGTATCACAGCATGGTTCTGGCACTCCTATCATATCACGCTAACACAGGCATGATTTTGGCATCCCAGCAAAAACTCAGATCAGTCAAGACCTTACTCAGTCATCAAGCCCTTACACCAGGGGAGTAGGTTGTGGCCCAGCATCATCATTATGCCTCTTTGACTCACAGCTCCTTCTTTCCATCCCCTCCTACCCTTGCAGACATGTGGGGTCTCATTCTGCACTCCACTGTGCTTCCTTGTCTGCTGCTTTTCTCCATCTCTTCTCTTATTCACACAATCCTCTGACACCTCCTGCTCCTATTATTTTCCTTTCTTTTCTCCCAGTAAATTCTGGGCTAGCATCATGTTAAGACTCCTGTTCTCAGTTAGGTCCTTGCCCTATGTTCTGATGCTCTCTCTCCTGGGCCTGTGGCAGATGCAACGGAAGGTGGTGAAAGAGGTCGGCTCCGTGGTTCACCTGGACACCATGGAGGCAGGACCTGATTATTGTGTAAAAGCTCAGACATACGTCGAGGCGATCAACAGAAGCAGCAGCTTTAGCCAGACACAGTGTGTGAGGGCACAAGGTAACAGCCAGCCTTCCTTCCTACTCCCCTCATGTAGTCATGCCCAAGAAGGATAGCCCACAGCTCTTCTTTTTGTTTCCACACAATATCTCCTGTCTTGTTTGCAAATGTGCTGCCCATTTGTTCCTCGGGGGAGGTAAAAAAAAGACTTGGCAATGCAGCTGCCTACACTGGCACTGGTATCCTTCCCTGGAGTGTGCCAACAAAGGATCTCACCAGGGTGGGTGGGAAGAGCAGCTGCAGAGGGTGCAGGCTGACTGCATTGGGTGGTTTGTCCTCACAGTCTCTCTGAGGAGTTTTGCTGCTTCTGTTGTTTCTAGGTGGCAGATCCGTGTGGCTGGTTACTGCCCTCATCTCCTCTGCTGGCTTTGCTGTGGCTGCTTTGACCCTGCCTTTCCTTACCTGGAAAACAAGTAAAGCCTTTCAGTATTCTTTTTTTTTCAGTATTCCTGCTTCTCTGTTGCTGTCCTGCCAGAAACACTGGTAACTTTTTTTACTGTGCTTTATTGGTTTTTAGGGTGCTGGGTATTCACAGGAGCATGGGGCAGGCAGAAAAAGCACACATGCATAGGAAGCCTTGCTCATTCCAGTGTGATGAGCTGAGCTGCAGGTGTCAAGCAGTCCACGACTTGGCTGCACGGCTGTCACTGCCTTCGGCCTAGAGCCCTGAACAGGGAAGATGCTCCTGGTGCTTGTGGAGAAGCAGCTGGGGAGGCATGGACTGACCCTGCCTGACCAGCTGCTCCCTGAACAAAACAGCTGTGTCATTGGCAACACTGCTCCATGTCCCCTGGTACCAGCACTGAGCTTCTCAACTCCTTGGTGAGGAGAAACTGATCGTCAAAAGCAGCCTCTTTTCTTGCTCACTCTGGAGGGGAGTATGTTTAAGTCAGTAGCTTAAGTGTGCTGTCCAGTTCAAGTGAGAACGCAGGCAGCAGCTTTCGTGGCTGTGGGTTCCTGAGCACTGGGTCTTTGGGCAGTTGTGGCAGGAAGGATGAGAGGAACGGTTTCTGGGGAAAAGTAGCAGACAGACAGACTAGCTCATCAGCCTGAGAGTGTTTGAGCGAGTGCATTTGTTTTACAGAAAGTATCAGAGCCCCCCACCCAGCTGATACTGTGTGGCAGTGAAGAAGCTGAGCAATGTGACCTGACCGTCCGTGTGATGCCCACAGAAGAAGTTCTCCGACTGTGGATTCAAGAAACACTTTAGAGCACCCCAGAAAAAAAACAGCCAGTGGAAACAGATCTTCTAAGCAGAGCTGGCAGATTGTGCCCCAGCCTCTTTTCTCAGAGTGCCAATAAGTAACATTGTTTTCTTTGTGTCTAAAAGCTGCTGCAAACCAAAGGTGGTGTGTATGATGAGCATGTGGCCTGCTCTGGTCCTCTCTGTAGCATCTTCATCCATCTACATAAAAAGCAAGTAAAGGTCACAGGTGACAACTGCCGGTTTCTATACTTCCCCTTCATACCCATACCCATATCCAGACATGAGTTAACTCATGTTCCCTTTACTTCTGTCAGCCACATTGATGGTCCCAAGGCAGAGCCCACCCTTCAGCCACCGGGATTTCACCAGAGCAATAAATGTAGAGCCCAGACCCTTAGTTCCAAACCATTTCAGCATCAGTATTTTTGCCTCGGTATTTTTAAAAGAAATTAAGCAGCCAGTAAGAGCTGCTTATGTGGCTAAACCAGCTGGAATGAACAGGAAAAAAATTGCTTTTAGGGCTGCAGGCCCTGACCTGAGGTTACACTCATTGAAAAGGATGTTGACAGTGACTGGACACAACATAAGAATTTGGTGCATGTGACAGATAATGTATGGTGCCAAGAAAACGTACAGACAGTGCCATGAGGGATGGCTGGGTTTCACCAGTGCTTGGGGGGAGTGATGTGAGAAACAGCCAGACTTCAACGATGGTTGGAGGGAGCATTGAGAACCTTCTGGGGAGCAGAGCTTTGCAAGACCAGCAACATTGCTAATACTATATAGCCTCAAGATCACCCAGGCAGGGTGTCAAAAATACAGAAGCTGGGTGTGCATGAAAGAAAACTAGGACCTTTAGGAAAAAGATAATTAGGGGTGAATTGTTTAAATGAGAGGGGATTGGAGTGGAGAAAGGTAAAGAAAGGACAGAGAAAGGTAGGCTCAAGAAATGGGAAAAGAAATGGGAAAAGGGACAAAAGGATGTGCAAATCATGTGGTCAGGATTGTCCAGGGTGCCTACTGGGCATCCCTGTGGTTCAACACCACACCTGAAGCAGGACATTGACTATGTCACACAAGGTAAACCTGCTTCTGTGGTCAGGAGGGGCAGGGTGAGGGGCAACTGGAGTGCTTATCTTGGCTAGTGGAGGAACAGCAGGATGTATGGATCAAGCATCACAGCATTACCATGTTAGTGGCCGTTCCAGACCTGACGACATCATTATCTTCCAGATATCTTGTCCTTTTAAGGAAGCAAATTCCAAAAGACAAATTCCTTCTAAATATAAATAAAATATAGTTGTTGCATATACTGTAATTATGGCTGTCACTTCTAAGAAGAGTAATTTATTACCTGTGAAGCAGAGACTTGTGTTAGTTGGACATGAAAAGACTTCGAGCTGAAAAACTTTTTTTAAAGCTGTCTTTAGATCTAATGAAATGCAAGACAATGTGCTTTTTTAAATTTCGTTGCAATCTTGCATCGGGCCATCAGGTGGCAACATAGCACCATGAAAAAAGTAGAAGTGACTCAGGACTATTCGTACCTCGGTGTTCTCCTGTCGAGGCAGTTCATGCCCTGGTTCCTGGCTAGCACCTCATTTTCGTGTTGCAGCCCAGTTGCTTGTTTTATTCCTGTCTTGCTAGCTTCTGTCTGGACAATATTAGGATATAGTGCTTTGGTGTTAAATAGTAAGATTGGTACTGCTGAATATGTAGCAAATTACAGGGTGAGAAAATCTGTGCAAGTCTGAGCATTGAAGACTGGGGGTCGATTTTTAGGTTGTTGATAATTAACTGGGAAATGCCTAGTTACAAACACCCATATGAGCTGGGCCCAGACAAGGAGATTTGGGAGCAAAGAGAAGAAGGGCATGTGCATGGGCTGATATGACAAGTGCTGAGGGGCCCAGCAGGTCTTGCGCCCTCCCTGAACCGAGCTGGGGTGGCAGTGGGAGGCAACCAGTGACTGGCTGATTCTGGCAGCAGGCAGTGGAGAGCAATGATTTTGTTGAGGAGGACAGTCAGCACAGAAGTGCACTCCCTTGCAGGGCTATGGGCTCTTTCTCAAACATCTCCTTAAACATCTTTGCCCAGTGCTTGAATTTTCAAGGCATAGCTCCCCATTGCAGAGGCCTTGGTAGTAAAGCTGGTTTAGAGAGCTCCTATGCCTTGCATTTATCCTTATTTTATTTCCCATTGATCTGGATGAGTTCAGTGTCTTGGTTTCCAGTGTGCCCCACAGGGGTGTCCCCATACAGGAAAATGTCCTGTTGCTTGTCCACTCCGTGGCTATAGGTCTGAAAAGCCTTAGCAGTTCCTCCTACCTCTTCCCCTCTGACATCGTTGCATCATGGCAGTACTAGCAACTGTTTAGGCTTTTTTTGAATGTGAAGGGTTTTTAAAAATTATTTTAATGCATATTTTCCAGCTGCATATTAAGCATAGAGCATATGTTTCTTTCTCACTTGCAATAACATTTTATGCCCTTCCTCATCACCAATAAAGCAGTTAAACCGTTGTACAAAACTGCACAGACAATGTTAAACAAAAGAAACACCTGAAAAAATTTCTTACAACAGGGAGTTGGAAAGGAATCGTTTAAGTGTCACTGCCATCTTAGCAAGACCATATTCAATTTGCATCAGGATATTCCAGTTTGTGTCTGTGGAGACTTGAAGCCAAATTTGAGATGCTGATTGAAAGTCCCTGGAAAGCTTCTCACTTTGAAGTATGTGCTGCATTTTGTTAAGCCTGAAAATCATGGTATAGAACAAGAGCGATTCCTTTGCCATCCATGTACATAGTAGCACGGTGGCATTGGCATAGGCAGCTGCCATCAGGTTAGTTCATTTCCTTGCATCGCAAGAGTTAATCATGCCTTGGCAGTCATGGCAATGGCTGCCTTTGATAACTGATTTTGCTCCCACAACCATGATACTACATTTCAAAGAAGGACCAGACAAGTAACCGCAGCGAAGAGCAATGTGTACTGATGAACTTTGCTGTTTCTTTCCGTTAATGTGGTAGTAAGTGGCTCCATTTCTTTCAAAATATACTTCTTTTTTACTTTCCTCAAAAAATGTTGCATGAAAATAAAGCACAAACGGCATCACCTTTTTAGTGAGTTTTGTTTCTATGTGTAACCTGTGGGATGTGATTCCAAAAAAACAACTTTTTCCTGAAGACTTTGTAAGAAAAGAAGAATGGAAGAAATGCTGATAAGACTGGTTTTCAAAGAAAAAATTATTCAGTCTATTAAATGAAGACCAGCATAAAGACTGTTGATTACACGAGCATTTAAGAAGAGTTACATGATATTACAGGGTTGACAAGAAAGCAAGGAATTCAGTTATCTGTTCCGTGACACTAACTGGCTGGAATATAGCCTAATTTTTCCTGTGAAGTATATTTCCTTAGAAGTATATTAGTGTTTGCAATTTTTAAGGGCTGATATTAATATACAGTCCAGCATTTCACTGTCCAATCAAACTGAGATCTTTCTTTAACTTGATAAATTACCATTTTAAGTATTTTCTACATTATTACAGTATGTTTTGTCTCTTTAAAAGTTACCTTTTTTTCTTACAAAATGAAAAAGGAACCAAAATCACTACTTTGACTACAAGTCGATTCAATTTCTTGTGAAGGTGGTACTATGTCCTGCAAATGAAGTGCTACAAAGATAATAAACATCTAAACCATTGGAGATAAAGATGTTTATTGATTAAAGGGTTTCTGTACAGGTGATTCTGTTGCTATTAAAGTACAAAATTGCAGAAACAGAAAATTACTCAGTTCAGGTCTCTTGTGGTCTTCTCAATAAACGGAAGTATAGAAAATTTCAGAAATTACTAAAGGTATAAAATTAATTAAAAGACGGCAAGGCTAAGTGAAATTGCCCAAATAAATACTGCACACGGAGCCCTAATTTGGTTTCATTCTGTGTATGAGCTATAATTTGGCTATTACTACAGAAATGGCTACTTCTGAGGAGTTTAATGTCCGTGATTCGCTCGGGATCAAACTCAGACCTTTGTTAACAGCCAAGGACACGCTCTCACGGTGCAGGCCAGCAGGCAGTGATCCCACCCCGAAGACGTCCTGTTCACCCCTACAGCCTTCAGTCCCAGAGCAAGGTTTGACAGGAGCTTGCACTTGCTTTACAGATCTTCAGCGCTGGAATAAAATAGAGAAATGAGGAAACTGCCAGCCTGAACTTTCCTGATGTGGCGGTGTTTAAGGATGGTAACGGCTAACTTTGCCCACACCAGGGTCTGCTGTGTTGCTCCAGAGTCTGTCATTCCTCACCACAGACCCAGGAGGAGAGCGGCGGCTCTGCAAGGTGAGGTGAGCTGGCTGTGGGCAGCAAGGGGGGAAGGGTTGCCACCTCTCCAGTCCCCACACAAGAAGGTCTCGGGGCAACGACTGGGGTCAGGCCCAATCACTGGACAAGTCTGTGATGAGGCTGGTGGGTCAGGACTGGGGCATCAAACATGGCCAGGCACAGATAGAGCTACAGCGTGGCTCTGGCAATGACCAAGGGCCAGGGCTTGAGCTCAAAGGCAGTTCCCGACAGAGGGCAGGTCCTGGTAAGGATTTTCACAGTCCTCTCGCACAGCAGCGTGATCCCAGGTGACGTGGGTGCACCACATCAGAGCTGGCCTTGGACACAGGCCCTCCAGCCACTGACCCCGGGGGGTTTATCTACCTCCTCTAGAAGCAAGCTGAAGGACCTGTGTCTTCATTTTCCCTTGGAACATTAGCAGCATTTGAATTTTTTTTAATTTTTACATTATCCTTTATTTTTTTATCAGACATCTGAATCAAGAGCATGAGGCCTATTTAAAGACACAGCAGGGGCTTAAAGTAAATGCATTCCACCTGTCAAAAAAGACTTTATGAAGAGCAGAGAAGCGTTGGCATGGTGAAATAACAAGGTGAGGGATGATAGTAAAAGCAATAAGGCATCCTTCAAAAACCTGAAGTCATGTCCAAATGAG